TTTGGTGGTTTTCAGTGAAACATATTTATTAATGATAATGATACATAGTTAGTGATACAGTTTAATAACAAACTGAATGATTATTTTATAAAAAACAAAAAGTTTAATATGAAATGGTTAAACTTTGATTAATATAATTATTGGTTAGTTGAATTTGTGTCCATAAATCAAATAAAAGATCGAACAATGGACGTTGATAACATAAACATATAAGAAGACTAGTAAAAAAAATGATTAAAATTAATATAAACATAATATCATGCCATGTTGCATACATCGAACTCATTTTGAAAACTGCACCTGAAGTATATATGTTCGATATTAAAAATATTCTTCTTTTTCCATTCGGATAAAAAATTTTCTCTTGAATTAATTTTTCTATTAGTACAAATTAATAGTATAAAAATAAATAATAAAAGCGTCAGTGAGAGAAAAAAATAAACGTATCGATATTAAAAATTCAGCATTAAGTCATGTCATTTTAACGATGAAAAGAAAGAAATGAAGCAAAAATGAAAGGATTAAAATAGATTCACTAATGAGACCTTCATTAAACTAACACAGATTTTTTAAATAAAGTTGACACAAAAAATTTTCTGCTTAAGTTTCACTTTATTTGAAGAGGTTTTTCTGGGAAAAATTTATAGAACTTTAAATTAAAAATTTGAATAAATTGATGAATAAAACGATTTTGCTTCTTGATAAATTTAATGAAAGATTTAAATATAAAAAGAACCTATCTAAGTTTGACAACATCAACATTATAATGACATCCGTTTTCGAAGATTTTTTTTAATGGAACAAGCACATTAGGCTCCAATTATCGCAATGAGTAAATATCTAGTTTGACAGATTTTTTAAACAAAGTCACTTTTTATTAACTATTGTTTTCTTTTTACGGAAACTTTAACATTATATTAATTCTAAAACCTACAGAACAGAAAAAATTAAATATATTCTTCTGTTTGTTTCGAATGCATGTAGAAAACAATTCAGTCAAAGTTTTAAAGAAATTCATGATCGTAATAGTTCAGAGGTGAGAAATCTTTCCTCTGCTCTCTAATAAACATTTTTAGGTTTTCTTTTGTTTTTCTTATTTACCTATGCTTCAAAGTATCTACTAATCTATCGAATATATTTCAAATTATAATATATTACTATGAAACTTGAAAAACCAGAAAATATAAAATATTCTCGATTAAAAGCATCACATTTTAAACATGATTTCGTAGTTATTTAAGACTAAGTTCTTTGACAAAAAAAGACAAACAATTGTTTCCGTTGTTCGAGTACTGTATATACAATCGAGCTGAAACTTTCTTCTACGTATCCTAGAAAGTGTGTAGGATGTCGACGTGTTTTTTTTAAATAACGTGTACTGCTGGGTTTGGCTGGGATTTAGAAAAAAAACCCAATTAAAAAAAAGAAAAAGAATGCATTTTTGAAGGTTATGTAGTATTTTGATCCGTCTATTCAAATCGAATGAGATCAAAAGAAAAGAGGTAAAGTAGCCATTCGAAATGGTTTACAATATCTGGAAAAAGATTTCAACTATATTAGACGTATTGCAGTGGAGAAAACAGAGCGATTATATAGATAAAATTTACTTTCTTCAATCTCAATGTCTCCAATGTAGACGAAACGATTTGGAAATTTTCAGTCTACAATATTTTTTGCCCTAGTTATCGAGATCTATAAAAAGGTAAATATTATGAAAATTGAAATACATGAGATTCCTATTTTGGTAATATATTTATTTTTTCAGTTATTAAAAATATTCTAAAATGAATATATTATCATAGTAAAATAGAAATATGATCCTTACTATTTGTTACTATAATTGTTTTGATTTGTTTTTGAATATTTCAAAGTAAAGATGTTCTTATTAATTAAATTGAAATCACTAGAAAAAAAACTTCTTTATGTCAATGTTTAGTAGACTTCAATTACTTTTCCTAATTTAAAATGAAATTTCAATATAGAAATATCGCATCAAATATATTCTCCTAAGTTCTAGTCAATTGAAAAGAAACAGACAACAATTATTAATGATTTAAAACGTTGACTGCTATTATACACTTCCAATATGAGAAAAATAGTCATCATTAGAAGATAGATTAGATTTTCTATTGTTCTTTTTAAGATTTTTCGCTATGATTGACGACTAAAAATATATGATAAATCACATTTTAGTCTTACTCTCGGATCATTCTCAGTTATGATTCTTATTAGAAATTATAGAAAAAAAAACAAGAAGGTAATAGAAAAACAATTCAGTCAATGAAATAAATTCCATCAAGCAACATTTATATTCAACGAATGATTGAATTCTTCTCAAACTCACTCATTGATTTCAATGAGAAAGTATCTTTTTCAATTTTCATCTGAAATTTGACCAATATTAAAGACTTTGTAGAGTAATTTTGATTAGACCTCTTCCAGAAATGAGTTTTTTGAAAAATTCTAAAATTTTTTATAGAGATAAATCAATGTGAGATTTTTATTTAGATCAACTCTTAAATTTAAGTTCAAAAACACAATTGCTTCAGAAAAACTATTGACTTTACTCCAATTTTGATAAATACCCAACTTATTTAAGTGATTTTAGTAGAACATGATTTTATTTTCATAGAAAAAAAAAAGTCATTCTAACTGGAAAGATGTATTAAAGAAGATTTTCCATTTTTGACGATCATCGATAGAAGAAAAGTTGACCTTTTGTCTTCGATATAAATTAATGGAGAATCTCAAATAATTTTTATTCGACTAAACTAAGAACTTCATGATTTAAACGTTTTTCATCAACTTTCGAAGAGACATTTATTAAACAATATAAGATTTACTAGATATGAAGATCCAAAAAGATTTCATGTGAGTCCAACAACGATTAGTTTCTTGCTTTTTGCTTTGATTAAAAAAAAACATGTTTAATACTTTCTGATAAGATTTCGAACATAATCATAGGAGAATATAAATTATTATTCTCAATACATTCACTATATAACATTGGTGCTGTTCTGCAAACTAACACACATTTAATTTGAACTAGTGTCCTGCAACTAGGTCAGATATCCGGCATCTGATCCAATCTGAAGCATGGATACGAGCACAAACTCTTCGAATATGATTTCATAGCCGAATTTAACCCAGCAATTAATCACATCTCGATGTTTCAAAATATTTTAACTTTCTCAAACGGTTGATTTATATAAAAACGTACAATTTAAAACCTGAGCTATTTATTGTAGTTGAAACCAGATCAAAGAAGTTGAAAGAGATTTTGTTTTATTAAAAAAATTCATTCTCTAATAAAAATTTATCTATAGATGATAGTGAACCACAATATGACGGAGTAATTGAATATATCAAGAGAAAAAGTAATTATTGAAATGGTAAACATATTTTATCATGATGAACGGAGCATTGATTTATCTATACACAATTATAACATTTGCCATCAACACTATATTCTATTTCCAATGTTGTCAGCAACAAACAAACGTATAAATAGCAAGATCGATTGGTTTTTAGAAGCAGAAAGCAGAGATGTCCATCGCGGCTGAAAATCTGCCGCTGCCGCGCCGCGGCCTTAGAAAAAAAAAGCTGCCGCACCGCTGCCGCGCCGCGACGGTTTATAAAAAAATGTTGCCGCGACGCTGCCGCACCGCGATGACTTATAAAAGAAACGCTGCCGCGCCGCTGCCGCGATGAATTATAAAATAAACGTGCCGCCACCGCGCCGCTGCCGCGACGATTTTCAAAAAAGTGTTTCTAATTTCACTGCTGTGACTATATTTGACCTGAGATATGGGTACTAGTCCATCAGATTTATTCAATATCAGGGCGTTTCATTTGTAAATCATGAAATTCTATTAAATTCATACAGTTTTTCAATGTCCTCCAAAAAAATCCTGCCGCTGCCGCGCCGCTGCCGCGATGGTTTTTTAAAAAACCTGCCGCTACCGCGCCGCTGCCGCGATGACTTTTAAAAAAATCTGCCGCTACCGCGCCGCTGCCGCGGTGATTTTTTTTAAAAACCTGCCGCTGCCGCGCCGCCACCGCCACCGCGGCAGCGGCAGCGGCGCGGCAGCGCCGCGATGGACATCTCTGGCAGAAAGACATCAGATCAATCATGAATCAGTTGCTTTTCTGTAGAATTTGAAATCATTGCTTTTTGCTGTGGTTATTTATGAAAGGGTATATTGAGTATAGCTATCAAGGCCTGCTTTCGAAAATATTATACTGGTGCAAGATACAAACTTCAAGAAAATAATTCTTGTAAGAATAGACCTTTATATTATAAATTTGAAATAAAAATAAAGAGTTGATTTTATTTTGAATATATGTTATAAAATTTCGTCTCAGTATTTTTGAAAATACACTACTGGCCAGAAGTCCCTGGACGTATGAAACTTCGAGTGAAGATCAATCGTTTTCCATGATATTTTTACCAGAGACGCAACTTGAAAAACTGTGATCGTCAGTACCAATCCGAGCTCGAATACACTGAGTAGAAGTGGAGTTAGAGATCAAATACTGCTTTCAGTTCGGTAAACACAATCTCTATATTTAAAGAAATTTTCAACCTAGCTCACTCTTGCTTTTGAAAACTGTTGCTTGTTACATCTCCGATATAAGTTTTTTAGAAGAAATTGATGATATTCATAAACATAGCAAACAGAAAGTTCGAAAGAATGGATGAGCCGGGTTGAGAAATCCTTTTGAATATCGAAATTATGCTTACCAGACTGAAAGCAGTATTTGATGTCTAACTCCACTTTTACTCAGCGTATTCGAGCTCGAATTGGTGCTGACGATCACAGTTTTTCAAGCTGCATCTCTGGTAAAAATATCATGGAAAACGATTGATCTTCACTCAAAGTTTCATACGTCCAGGGATTTCTGACCAGTAGTGTAATTATTTACAAAGACATATATTTTTTTATTTGATAACAAATGAAAAAATAAAATAAAATTGCGAATAAACGATGAAATGAAATTTATTGTTGTTTAGTATTGTTAATAGATTGTGGTAAATGAATATCATGGCTGAATGTTGATTCATCAATATTTGGCCAATGTTTTTGTTTATTAAAACGAGAATTTTTAATAAAATTTTGTGATGATAGATTATATTGAAAATCATGTCCAATAGTAAATGAATGTGAAGGATTTTTTCTGGAAATAGTAACAATAATTTGTCTATGCATTGATGGAATAACATCAAATAATTGATGATGAGAATCTTTTCTTGACATAAATGCATTTTGTGATAACATACAACGAAAATGAAAATGAACATTTTTATTTGGATTTCGATTTTCAACCAGTAAAATCACTCCATCCCAATATTTTTTTAATTCATAGATTTTAACTTCATCATTCACTTCATTTTCATATCCTTTTTCAACTTGTTCACCATAAATTATACAAAGTTTTATTAAAAATTCTCGTTCAATTCTTAATGGAATTTTTATACGTTCAAGATCAATTGAATGATTACTATGAACAGCTTAAATAAAACAAAAATAAAGAAAAAAATCAATTTACTTTTTAAATAAAAATAATAAACAAACCGATATTAAATTCAGTATTATCAAGATGTTTGTTAACTGGATTAAGTAGAAAAGGTAATATTAGATAAGTTCCTGGTTGAAGAGAACCATCGGTTGAAACAAATTTATGTTGACCTTGTTGACTTATTATTGGAATTGAATAAATTCTATAGTTTCCAATTGTTTTTTCTTCAATATTAACAATGGCAACACAAAGACTAACATCACTTCGTTGGATTCGAAGATTTTTACTTATTTTTCTATAAAGTGTTATATCAAGTTCAGTAAAATTTTGAATAGTTAAATAATAAGCTTGCATCATTCCTTGTTCACAATAAAAATTGCCTGAATCTCGAACTTCATACCAATCTGGTCTTATTTTACAAATATCAACACATTCAAAATATTTAACAAACGATTCAAATGGCATCCAGAAAACTCCATCTCTTTTACTTCGTTTTTCTTTTAATAATTCTTGACGTAAATCCGGATTTTGAATCCATAATGGAGAATTATCAGACCAATCACCTAAATAAATCTAATCAATTCTAAGAAATAAATGTTAAATAAAAAACAAACCAATCCATCTATATGTTCCTCCCCATGGATTTCTTAATTTAACTAATCTATATTTTCCATCATGTGATTGTTTTATATCTTGTAATGAATAAGCATGAATATTAAGTAAACCATTATTTATAAATTCTTGTTTATTAATAAGATTATTACTACACATAGCACACATTAAAAATCTTTGTGAACGTGCATTTAATAATTTCTTCCATAAAACATTATGATCAACATTTTTATCATCAGGATTATTTGTACGACCAAGAATTAATGTTTCACATGGACTTCCTGTTACTGTTGATAAACCTAAATTTATTATATACTTTTCATTTTAATTAAAAAGAAAAAAAAAATAAACAATAAATAAACCTTCACAACAACGACCAGCAATAATTGCTTCATAACTTCCATTTAATTTTGCTAAAGCTTTTTCAATTAATGGAACCTAAAACAAGTTTTCGTTATTGTTTTAAACTTGAAAAATAAAAAGATGTTTTTTACCCAAAGTTGTTTTCTACGTGCTTGAGAATAAGCTAATCTTTTATTAGATGTACATGGAAGACGATCATCAACAATAACTTGTGTCCATTCGCCATCTTAATTTAAATATTATCGTAGAATTATTAAATATGAATTAATATATTACCTTTACATAAACGAACATAATAAATACCTTGATAATTATAATCTCTCGTTACAAGTACCTTTTTTTTTGAATATTTATATTGATTTAATGAAACAAATAAGAAGAAATATCGAACTTACTTTCATTAAATATTCAGGCTTTTCAGCGAGAACACTCAAAGCGGTAATAAACCAACAATCACCTGAAATATTTTATAAAAGAAAAATAAAATTTAAAAATTCTCAATATTGAAAAACCTAAAGCTCCTTGAATGACATCATTTGGTTTCGGATTTCTAAAAACTGTCCATTGATGCCTATCATTTTCACTCCATTCAGGTGGATTGATTTCATCAGGTCTTAACCATTGAATATAATTATGATGAGATAAATGCATTTGTGGATCAGGTAGAAGAGCTAATGTTGATTGTGATAAAGAATTTCCATTAATATAAAGTGATTCTAATGATGCTGGAAATGTTTCATCTTTAAATCGACTATGAGATAAGGTTACACTATTAAGAAGTTTTTCAAAATGTTTTAAAATAACATGTTCATCAGCTTCACGTTTATATGTTATAAGAACACTACGTCGATATATATTTTCTTGTTTAACTAGATTTTCATCATTCCAATTTTCATGACGATATTTTACTGTATCACTATATTAACAATTTATACATTTAATATAAAATTTATACTTATTTTAATAAAAAAAAAAGTTAACCTGTCTGGCATCGATGAATCATTTTGGTCATGATTTTGAATATTTGTTTTACCGATATGATTCATAATAGGAATATAAACATTGATTTTACTTGAATCACAAAGAGAACATATTTGAGAATCATTTTGATTTAATGTTTGACATAATTGACAATGCCATGGACGTCGAATAGCAGATGAATTTATTGAAATACATCCATTTTCATTTGAATGAAGTTCGTCTAACGAACGTGACCGGTTATGTTGACTTGTTACTTTTAAAATATCTTCTTTATCACGTTTTTCTGTATTTGATGAAACTCTTTTCGATTTTTCGTCATGATGTCGTGTCAGTATTGGAATATCTTCTCTAAATGCAGTAAGAACTTGTTTATATGATACTTCGATTTCGTTTAAGAACACAAAAATTGAAATATTCTCTCGTTTCGAAAATATCAAACCGATTTTTTTTCTCTTTTTGTTTTCTCGAACGATTATATTACCAGTAACAAATTATGTGAACAACAAGGTGATCTCACCTGTATATTACATACACATATACCTACAATAATTACTGACAACGTTATTCATTTCTCGCTTAGTAGTATAAAAATGTCTATTGAAAAGTGATAATGATTGATAAGAGAGAAAAATATAATATACAGGTACGAAAGAACATGAATTACAGAAATCTCAAAAAGCCATCATTAAACAGCCATCAATACGTTAAGCGGATAATTGCTTTTATTGATTATTCTGAATGTTTTGACTTATTTCAAAAGAGATTTTTAAGAATTTTTCTTCAAAAATACATTTGGTTTAAACTCACAAGTGTCTGTAAATATAGAGACTTTGAGAGGATTTTGATTTAAAGCAAAAGATGTGTTTTATCAAGAGGTTTCCCTTTTGTCACGAACAGTAATCAATATTTGCTTAAAGAAACAAGTCATCATATTTCGATATTGAATAATTCTATTTAAGCAATTATTGAATTTTATCACTAAATCTAAATGAATTTTCATTTGAAAACCGTAGATTTCATTTTTTATTTCGCTTAATAAAATAGATGATAGTTTATAGCGACATCTATGCTTTTTAAGTACAATTCATCATATTTCTCATTATATCGATATTTCATATTGCTTTTTTTTTGTTTAAAAGTCACATATTAGAAAATAAAAAAGCTGATTTACCTGCAGAGATGAAAACTCCGGCTTGGTTTTTTATTAAAAAAGATTGCCTTCAACTGTTCCATCAAGTCAACAAAAACCGATGGCTGAAATACAACAAAACTGCTACGAAAAGACGAAATATTTGGACTTTATTTCTTACTCAAATAGAGTTCTTTTTTCTTTCTTTCATTCTTATTTTCTTTTTCGATCGGTTCTTATAAATAAAATCATGATTCATACTTGAAATGTTAATATACACGAACATAATTCTCATTGCTAATAAAGTAATAGTCAGATAATTAACCGCATAATAGGAATAATGAAACAATATTTGAAACAATTTACATTAGAATATTTTCTTTTGAAATAATATTCCTTGTCCTTTGGTATCTTAAAATCGAAAAATCTAATCATCTTTTAATATTTAAAAAAAATTATGTAAAACTTTTATTTTTATCCAAATAGTAAAAAAAAGTCGAACATTTCGTTACCAAACTCGCAGTATGCATTTTATTAATATATCATCTCATTCTAATTCGTAATATAAAGATAGAGAGCCAACTAACAGCACTATGTAGAAACATCTAAAAGATGTTTCGTTCGCATACCAATAAAACATCACGAATACCGAATTCTTCTACAAGTCCGGTTTTATTTAACATTCAAGACAATTAATATGAAGTTAGCAAAAAAAATAACCTGTCATCTAGATTAATCATGTACTAGAAGACTATCAATCACAATAATAAAAAATAATTAATAATACAAACAACTTAATCATCACCACGCAACCTGCACTAGAAAAATTTTGATAAATGTTCATAGGTCTTCATAGTAACCCATCTTATTATCATCACTTTTTAGGTTCGTTCTGACTTTCATCAGATGACTAACAGAACT